GATGATATGGACCTGTAGTTCTCCTTATCCATTTTTTCTTTTTTACTACTGGAACAACTACTGTAGTTGTTGTTGTTGTTTGGGTCCCTATCTCAACCATAGTGTCCTCAAATGCAGTTTGGGTTCCTGCTTCCACTACAGTCCTCTGAGAGTACTGAGTTGTCACTCGATAGGCACAGACCAGGCCCCAGTACAGGTCGAGAAGCTGCTGGTATTCATTGGGGTAGGCAAGGCACCCTTTCATCAGGTGACGTGTCAGTTTGCCAGGGTTGATTCCCTGTTCAGGTGTCAAGTCCCAGGTAATGGTAGGTGATAACCACCTTAGGAACTTGCCCAAATCCTTCCACACACTCTGCCACCCAGGAACTGGATACCTCAGGGCACATTTCAATATGTCCTCACCCAAAATTTGTTTTCTCTTACACCAGGGCAACACCAGATTCTGCAAACCCCATAGTATGCTAACAGTATTAAATAAATAATGGCCAGTCTTCGCGAACAAAGATTTGGGGAAAGGTCTTTTACCTTTCCAGCCTGCGCAATGGATTTTTTAGGTGAGACACAGCATGCGCTGAACTGAGCCCACCCTTTAATCCTAAGGTTCATCTGCCGGGGCCAAGCAAACTTGGACAATGGCAGTGAGGTCCTCAGGACGTAGGTTTGTTTAGAGTGACCTTCTCATAGATGGATGGCCTCACAGGGCTAACGGGCTCCATCTGCCCGGGGGGACTGGGATTCGAACCTGGGTCGCAGCAGTGAGAGTCCCGCATGCTAACCACTAGGCCACCAGGGGTCCCCTAACAGTATTAATTAATAGTATTAAACAGCTCACGTAAGGATGAACAAGGACCCCGGGAACCTGCATTATAAAACCATCCAAATCAATCCTGGGTAGGGAGAGGGAGAGGTATTCCCTCACTGTCTCCACAAAACAGCTCCCCCAGCACAGCAAGACCATCAATGTAAGGGCAAAGCACAGAGCCATTGTTTGTATTAACATGTTCCCAAACGCAGCAAAATAAAGAGATAAGCAGCGCAGCTGACAAAATCTGTGCCCTGCACAGGAGCTTGCTACTCAATAACTACTATAGTTGTATATCCTAGCTACAGAGATAGCAGGAGTTTAGCACTATGTGGGTGTGCGCCATTTTGCCTGGGTGTCTCAAGGGAGAAGGTATCCAGATCAATGTGGAGGACCCAGCCCCTCTCTGCCACCACTGGTCCCTTTCATGTTCCTTCGAACTGTGGTTTTAAGGTGTAGTGCTGAAAGACAAGCCCGAGATGCCACTTCAAGGAAAAAAAGAAAAAGGAGAGAGAGACCCACAGCTTTGTGGAACCAAGCTGAGCCAAGTGGAGCAGCACCGGTGCTGGAGGCACAAAGAGCCCCCTGCACCCACCCCGTCACTATGCCAGGACCCATGCCAGCATCTTGGCAGCATAACTCCTTCTGGATGAAATACTCTTCCAAGGTTTTGCTTTGCCTTTGTTCCACGTTTGTTTTGTCTGGTTGGGGAGGGCATTGGACAGTGGGGACTTGTTTGCCACAGTGTTTTCTTTGTTCCCCTAGGCCACGTGGAGCCGGCAGCATGGGAAGGAGAGTCATCTTTTTTTTGTTTTTGCCCGGAAGGGGCAGGCAACAATTTTTTTGCCTTTGTTGGCTTTGTGGGTGAATAATTTTTTCCATTGTATTGTTGTGTTATTTGTGAGTTTTACCTCAGTAAATTTGTGACTAATGTTTTTAACCTCTTGCAGTCTTGTTTTCTTTGTTTTCCCCCTCCACTATTGTTAGGGGTGGCTCGAGCAGTTTTTTCTTCACTGAGTTTTTAAAACCAGCACATTATAGCATGCTTTATATAAAACTGCTGTTGTCTCATCCCATTTTGGGCACCAGAAAAGGCTGTGGTGGGTTGACCTTGGCTAGACACCAGGTGCCCACCAAGCCACTCTCCCCAGAAAAGAGTCCATTTCCCTGGCCAGGTTGTATCCCCTTCCAAGATCTCTCCCACCCCCAGACTACTGATGGGGGGCAGAATGTTGGAGAGACAGCGCTGATGCTGTGCCAGCACTGCTCAGCAGTAGCCAAAGCACTGGTGTGTTATCAACACCTTTCTAGCTACCAATGCAAAGCACAGCACAGTGAGGGCTGCTATGGGGAAAACAAACTCCATCTCAGCCATACCCAATACAGAAGATGAAAGGCTGGTGAACTAGGACATTGTGCTTGCCCACGATGCCTGCTCAGTTGGTGCTAAGAAAAAATCCAGGAGCCCGTTAATTAGGGTGAGATAAGGAAAGGGTTTAATCATGCCAAGGCAATGGATGGTATACGACGTGCGCAGGCTGTGCCTGAGATGTTACAATATATAACAATATCTGGTCAATCCCAAGTGTGTCCACCCCGTAACTTCTGCTCTGGTCCACCCCCAGGCCCACCTCCCGGAATTGGGTCTGGGGTGCTTTTTGGGACCTTCTCTTCATCATCCTTCATCATCTTTGGGGTACAGAGAGCAGAGTCACCCACTTCTTTGACTCTGTCCTGCAGTTTAGGCCAAGATACAAGCGTTCCCCAAACAAGACAGGCTTGCCTTGACAAGAGACTAAACATCTTCTACTGGATACAGGGATAGGGCTGATATGTGGAGTATGGAATGGGGTAAGAGGGTTAAGGAATGTATAAACTAAGGGGTGCTACAGGGAAGAGGGAGAAAGGGTTGTTTCTAAAATCTACTTCTATTACCTATAAAACTTATAAGGTAGAAAAATAAGAAAACCATTAGGGGCTTAAGGCATCAGTCCCCCCTTTAGAGATTAAACAAGATTCCGAGATCTTGTTCAATCTCTACTACTTACACATAATACTAATCGTATAACAAGCTATTATGCAAACTTAATGCTAACATGAATGGCTGCTCTAACTAGGTTCAGCTTGGTAACTATGAAGTAAGTTTGTGAAGGCAAACTTAATGAGACATTTCTAAGAATTATCCAATAAATAATTCAAATTTGTTGCCAAATTCATAGTGCAAATTTAGCACTCACTTTTATGAATGATGTTTGGTATATTTTGCTAAAGCCAAATGTAAATTTAGGTTCTAAACTCAATTCATAGTTACTGACAGTACTAATAAATACAAACAAGCGAGGAATACTTCAACACTATTTTAACAGTCCTTAGAAATAACAGTCTTTGTTGCTCTACTCGTCTCAGGAACAGAGGTTTTTTCTTCCTGGGTGAAACTCAGGATCTTGATGATAACTCTTGACCACGATGGAAATGGTCTGCTGGATTTGAAAACAGTTCTTTCCGTTTGGTTTGCAGGAGTTTCAGTCTCATTGTTTAACATAAACTCAGTCCTTGGGCTGGAGCAGATGGGCAGGAGTGTCCAGTCTCATAGGCTTACATGACTCAATGAACTTCTACAGTTCCTGCCAAGTAGATCTTAAAACATAAACCATTTTACAGATAAACCTGCTTAGGTGACCAGGGAGTCGATGAATTGTGACTCTCTGTCTGATGACAATTTCACAGGAATTTTAGATCTTAGAATTCCTGTATTTCAATCTTCTGAGAGAGGAGCTCGTGCTTTTATCACATAAAGCAATTAACTGCCAGTCGTAGATTAAATAGGCCAGTCAAGAGTTTACCTGAAGCAGGTTGCGTCTGGATGCAAACAGCACCCTGGCAGTGCCAGTAGCTCACCGCAGAGAGTTTATACTCTCTGGAGAAATTCTAGGCCTTACTGGGGGCAGGTTGTCCTGTCCCAACCTGTCCCAGACTGCAGTCAATCATCTTTACCTCATGGAGTGGCCTTACAGGGGCCTCTTGCCTCCATGGGTAAAAGCTTCCACACCTGTTAAAATAGGTGCATTCACAGATACATGAATACTAATGAGATAATAAAGCTAGAAAGCAATTTCAGCAAACTACTTAAGGAACCTAAACCAATTATTCCAACAACTGATGTTACCAGGTCGTCTCAAAGATTGCAGGCAATGGTGCAAGCCAGATTTTTAGAGGCTTATTAGAGAGTCTACAGAACCAGTGCTGTTGTAGTGCTGCCTCAGCACTGAAGTCACCTTCTTATCCGTCCTTCGGTCTCAGTGTAGGACTTCTTTTTGCGATTCGGGTTCACGTACATTCCTAGATGACACTAGATATGAAAGCATCTTAAAAACATAAGTAGATAAACATGATTCCACAATTCACATGAAAACTCTATGGACCTTTTATCAAACTGCTTTTTAGGAGAAATTCTTCCACAAGCTGCAGTAGTCTAAGAGACACAGATGTTTACAAATTGCTGCTGGAACAAGAAATGTGCAAGTATAAACATTGCAAGCTTTAAAGCAATTCATATAGTAAAAGCAATATAGGCTTTCAATTTTTAGCAATTAAGCTAACAACAAGAGAAACTTAAAGAATAATATAGAAATAACAAAACAAATACAATAATTACAATATATGTACATGTACCACCTTTAGTGCAAATTGATTTTCAATTGTGTCAGAAGGTTCTTATGTTGGTTTCTGTCTACTTACTCTTGATGTTATTGCAGTTTAACACTCTTTGGTTCTGGTGTGTTTCATTTGCAGTTAAGACATTTGTCTACTTCTGCAAAAAGTTGTTCTCATGGCTTGGTGGTACTGCTTTTCAGGTCTGCTGGAACAGACTATCTGTAAATAGTTAACTTCTGACACATTGTTAGTTCCCATTAAGAGCAAAACAGTGGCCCCCCTTTGATTTTGCCACAGCCCCCTGAAGCTCAGTCAGGGCACAGAGGGCAGGAATATTCACAGGCTGTGAGCCTGAAACAGGTTTAGAGCACACAGGGGTCGATATAGCTAGCTCTTCTTCCCCCCCCTTTCCGTGTTAGCCAGTCTAACAGGCGAGGGGAGGGGCCACAGCGGTGGTCGGTCAGTCCGTGGGACAGCGCTGGTTGCTCAGCCTTCCATACTGTGTCCATTCCTGTCGGGCTCCCTTTGGGAACCCACCTCACCACAGGGACAGGGCCAGAGCAAGTTTTAGGCAAGCTTCCCTTTTGGGTTTCCCTTCTCGCTGTTGCAAAAAGTATCTTTCCCGGTTTCCGGCCGCTTCTGGACTCTGTTGCTATAGCAACGACTGCAAGCCAGAGGCCCACGTCGGCAGGGCCGTGCCAACTCGGGAGGCGGGGCAGGCCCGGGGGCGGATTGGGGCAGGACCATTCTGGTCCGAGCCGCCCCCTCCCCTTTAGGGATAGAGAGTCCAAGCTGTCCGACTCAGCCAGTGGCCCCGCCCACAGCGACCCTGGGGGTCCGAAACTGGGCTTCCCAGAGACATGGGGGAAAGCCGCGAGTATTAGGGGGAGAGTGGGGGCGACTGAGCCGCCCTCAGTAACCAAAGCAAGCGGTTGGCCACTCGCTGCAAAAGCAGTGAGTCCCCCTGGAGGGTCTGTCACCCCCCTTTTTGGAACAGAAGCGGCCGCAGTGCTGGCAGGGGCAGAGGCAGCTTCCTCGCTTCCCGCACCGTACGGGTCAGTGATGGTCTCGCTTGTAACAGCTGCCGCCTCATTTCCACTCACCGCAGCACAAGCGGTGACCCCGTTCGCAGTCTGCTGCTCCCCGGCACTCTCGGCTGCCTTGTCGGCCGTACCCGCAGGGGCAGCTGCCGGCTCAGCTCTCTGTGCTCCTGTGGCAGCGGTGCCCGCAGGGGCAGCCCCGCCCGCCATAGGTGTCTCTCTCCCTGCTGCCGGACGGCCAGGGGCAGCGCAGTCAGCACCCACGGGAGGGTCAACGGCTGAGGGGGAGTGCTCCTGCTTCTGTCGCAGCTGCTCCTCGGCCATGCTGCTCTTGCTCACAAGTGTCTCCAGCATTTCCAGGACTCGCAGGGTCCTGAACTGCAGCTGGGCGCGGGCAGCGGGGAAATCGGGCCTGGGACTGAGCTGCATCAGGTCCCGGTCCATCATGGTCGAGATGTCATAGACATCATCGGCTGTCAGCTGGAATGGGCTCTTATCCAGAGCCCTCTCTGGGTTACCATCCATATACTCCATATCTATATCAGTATAGCCTGTAGGCGACTCATTTGCCCTTTGCTTGACTTCATACATTTTTATAGCTCCCTTGCTGTTATCACTACCGGTAAAATCAACTGCTTCAGCACCCCTCTGCAGCGCTGGGCTACTTGGTTTCACAAACATACCTACACCCGGGGCTGTCGCCCCCCCTGGGGCTGACGCCTTCACTTTACTACCACCGTCAGAGTTAACTCCTGCCGCCGTCTCTACACTGGCCGATTCCGGCAGCGCTTTCGCTGCAATCTCTAAAATCCTCTCTGTTTCCACAACAGATGCCGCATCTGTAACAACCTTCTCTGGTGTTACCATGCCAAAAGCAACTCTAGTAAAAGCTGACTTCTCAGCCTTCACAGCTCTTATCCCGTTACCGATACAACTATCTGCTCCTCCCGCATTCACCTCTGGTGTTACTATGGTAACCCCGTCTACTCCGCCAAGGCCGCCAGCAGCAGCTGCTAAGCCACAGGCTGCTCCTTGCACGCTTGCCGGAACAGGCAGGGGAGACCCCGCTTCCATTGCCCCGCTGGGGCCAGGAGTTTCTCCTGGTGTCACTCCTGTTTTAACCAAACTAGATGCTACTTCTGAGTTTAACCCCGCAGCGCCTGCATAACTCCCGCTCTGCTCTGCCGCGCTAAAAGCAGCTTCAACAAAAGCTGATCTTATCTGCACCGCGGTGCCTACTTCAGTCAAACTAACAGCCTCTGTTCTTACAGCCACACCGGCGGGACTCACTCCCACCGGCCCCGAGCCAACTCCTCCGGGGGCCTTAATTTGTCTGATCCCTCCCGGTGCAGCCAGACCCACACCCGTGAGTCCTCCAACGGCCCGTGCCTGCCCTGCTCCTGCCCGTTCAGCAGAAGCCGGTCCAGGTGCCATCATTCCTGCAGCTCCGGTCCCCAATTCAGGGCATGTTAATAAATGCAAAAACAGCACTGCATATCGAAGTTCCTCCAACCTCTGTTCTACATGAAGAAGCGAGATTAACCGAAGCAACATGCCCAGTTAAAACGGACCAAATTCTGGCCAAGTCAGTCCTCTCAATTGTCCAAACAACGGCCAGGAATACACAGACAGTCTATAAAGCTCTTCCTTTTTTAAAGTTGCATTTGGGTCGGTTAAAACCTTCCAATGTTCCAAAACTAAACCCAAGGGGGATTCTTTAGGGACCTCAAACTTTGAATCCACACGACCCATGATTGTAAAACACAAATGATCCACGAACACACACCGGGATTCGAACTTGCTACCTTGGGGTTACAAGCTGTTCCAGTAACCTCTCAGCTATTATTCCGAGTCTCACCGACTCCCAGAGCCTACCGGCTCCCCCACGGCATCAGAGCACACCGGAAGGCGTCCCTTCCCAACAAAACAGTCCTAGACTGAACCCCGCTCTTTCTTATCTCACCTCTATGCTCCATGATTGTTTCCGTGGGTTCTGTGGAGCTGGGCTTCTCAGACCGGGGCAGGAATTGTCTCAGATAAAAGCCGACTTGATGAGGAATTCCTGCACGATGAAAGTTTCCAGTCTGAAGAAGTTCCAGTCCAGGTCTCCCCGTACAGGCCACCAACTGATGCCTGCTCAGTTGGTGCTAAGAAAAAATCCAGGAGCCCGTTAATTAGGGTGAGATAAGGAAAGGGTTTAATCGTGCCAAGGCAATGGATGGCATACGACGCGCGCAGGCTGTGCCTGAGATGTTACAATATATAACAATATCTGGTCAATCCCAAGTGTGTCCACCCCGTAACTTCTGCTCTGGTCCACCCCCAGGCCCACCTCCCGGAATTGGGTCTGGGGTGCTTTTTGGGACCTTCTCTTCATCATCCTTCATCATCTTTGGGGTACAGAGAGCAGAGTCACCCACTTCTTTGACTCTGTCCTGCAGTTTAGGCCAAGATACAAGCATTCCCCAAACAAGACAGGCTTGCCTTGACAAGAGACTAAACATCTTCTACTGGATATGGGGATAGGGCTGATATGTGGAGTATGGAATGGGGTAAGAGGGTTAAGGAATGTATAAACTAAGGGGTGCTACGGGGAAGAGGGAGAAAGGGTTGTTTCTAAAATCTACTTCTATTACCTATAAAACTTATAAGGTAGAAAAATAAGAAAACCATTAGGGGCTTAAGGTATCACCCATTACACTGCCTGCTAGGAGGCAATAACTTTCCCCAAACTTGCCTGATGCAGCCAAAAACCAATGACACAGAAATAGTCGTGTTTGTTTCTTATCAGCAGGTATCCTATTGCTGTTGGACTCTAGCTCTATTCATAATTCCTCTTGCTCCACTCACCAAATAGCTCACAGAAGGCAATTAACTATTGCATAGCCATTTGACTGTAAACAATTATGGAACTTACTATCCTGTAGCTTGGGGGGGAATGCCTCCTACAGTGGCTGAGCTGATAATCAGTGATTTTGATAGTGGAAAAATCTGGCTCTGAAAGATTAATGAAGCTGTTTAAACAATCACTCCATATAGAGGAGCAGGCATAAGCATGTAAGCATGTTTTGCCTCAAACATTCTGACTCTTGCGACAGGAAAGTTGGGATTGGAAGTGAGGGTCCTGTGGAGGTGGGGCAGCGCTGTTCTGAGCCAACTTCCTTTTCTGCCTTGAGACTCATGCTCAGTGTGCCTGTGTCAACTTCCCCCTCCCCCAACTCACTTCCTGGAGGGCTCAAAAGGGCTGACTGTGCATGCACAAAGGAAATGGCACAAAAAAATCTATTTTACAAAAGAGGCATGCACCAGGTTAACTATAAAAGGAAGTGAATCGCCCTCCTCTCTCTTTTTCCTCCTTCTCTCTCTCACTCTGTTGACCTCAGCTCCAGATCATCCATGTGGCAGGATCAATGCAGGATCTAAGGACTGGTGATCTTCTTTCTTCTCTTTCTCTCTTTTCCACCTTTATTTCTCTCCTCTCTTGTTTTTTCTTGGTAAACTACGGCTATCATATTCTACCCTGTACTCCATACTGAAGTTTGTTGCGGGAGTTGGGAGCTTGTTGAAGTGTGTTGTAAAAGCTAAGGGCTTGTTAGCCAACACTTTTGAGACTAAATAGTGGGCTAGCTGCCAGAGTTAAGACGATTATACAATAAAGCATAAGAGTTCCCTGACACATGGACTGGTGTCTTTGTTCAGCCTGATGAGAATTTGTAACAAACATTGTCTCCCCTACTGGTGGGTGGGTCGTGACACCCCATCACCATATTCTACCACAAACTGTCCAGTTGGGAGATTATTTCTTTTACAGGGTCTGGCAGTCAATGAGATCCATATGTAGAAAATAACTGGCACAGACTTTTCACTGTTCAGCTTGACCACTGCAGTCTAAGCAAATGCAAAAAACAATGTTGTGCTCTGTGCTTTTTTGAAGCTAACAATGGGAGTTGAACCATGGTGGGAAACAAGCAAATGAGCGATGCAATATTATTCAGATAGCCCATGTGGTTGAATTGTACTTCACAGTGTACCAAAGATGGGATCCAGGCAGTTAAGCTTTGAGCAACATGGAAGTCTCATATCATAGAATCATAGAATCAGTTGGGTTGGAAGGGACCTCCGAGATCATCAAGTCCAACCCTTGATCCACTACCGCTGTGGTTGCTAGACCATGGCACTAAGTGCCACATCCAGTCTCATCTTAAAAACCTCCAGGGACGGAGAATCCACCACCTCCTTGGGCAGCCCATTCCAATGTCTGATTACCCTCTCTGTAAAGAATTTCTTCCTAATATCCAACCTAAACCTCCCCTGGCACAGCTTGAGACCATGCCCTCTTGTCTTACAGATAGTTGCCTGGGAGAAGAGACTGACCCCCACCTGGCTACGACCTCCTTTCAGGTAGTTGTAGAAAGTGATGAGGTTTCCCCTGAGCCTCCTCTTCTCCAGGCTGAACAACTCCAGCTCCCTCAGCCTCTCCGCATAGGATTTGTGCTTGAGTCCCTTCACCAGCCTCGTTGCTCTTCTCTGGACCTGCTCCAGCACCTCAATATCCTTCCTGAACTGAGGGGCCCAGAACTGGACACAGTACTCTAGGTGTGGCCTCAC